TTCACTAATTGAAAAAATAATATTATGATATATACAAATAATGATGAATATTAATTCGAATATGATATTAGAATTAATTAATTAGTCTAAGACTAATTAAAAGAAAACATAAATTACTAGACTACATAGTTTTTTTCAAATAAAAATGATTTCTTAGCAATTTGTGTATTTCAAATTATTTTTACTTCCAATTCACGTGGTGTTACTTCTTACCTGAAATCTAAGAAATAAGATACGAAATTACATAATAGTTTTTGGAAATTGTTGCCAATCCACCTATCATAGTTATTACTTTAAATTTCTTTCTTTCATTTTTATTGTCAGTTAAATAAAACTAGTTCCTAAACTACTTGACATCGAAAAAGACAGCTATGCCATAATCATGTGATATTAAAATAAAATACTTAAGTTTCTCTGTAAGGTAATTGACACATATCGCTATATTTCACGTATTAATAAAATCAAATGAATCAAATAAAATGTAACAATTCTAGTTTTAACGTAAATTTATTTTTAATGATTCAAAAAACAGATATAAAATTAATTAATGCAAGTATTTGAATAATATTGAAGTGTATTTATTTGAAATTATTTAGATTAAGTTGTTTAGATGATGAAAGTTTTTAATAATAATATTTTATCTTAAAATTGTACCGTAATTACGCAAATGTATTAAATGCAGTTTAGACCAAATTATCTTTTCTGAATGTTTCAACGGCATTAAAAATTTTTTTCACATACAAAAGTTATACCTACGGATGAAATTAACATTGTTGCATTCAGTTTCTCTTTCAATTCTGCGTATTGTACAATCTGTTATTCATTAATTAACCAAGTAATGGCAGTATTTACTTTATATAAAAACTCTCGTTTGAAAAATAGTTGGTATGCTACCATAAAAAAAAGGATAATGCATATACCTATCAATCTTATAAAACCTGTCTGACCTGCATTACTCACCGTTGGTTATTTGAAATAATATAATAAATAATCACAATCAATATGATTTTTATACATGAAGAGTTCTATTGATGTTTTTAGTATTAAAAATAATTTTCAATAAATATTATACATGAATATTAATACATGTTCAAGTTAATGTTTTAATTAACCGGAAAAATGTGATGGTTCATAATAATTTGTTGTTTTATAATACCTATACTACAATAATGACAAAAAGCACGAAAAATAATCAGTTATATTGTTGCTCGTTTACTTTATAATAGTAATTTACTTAATATTTCAATGAAATTACATGTTTATGGTATACAGTAACAATAAAACAAAATCAAAATAAATAATTTGAAAGTTTTGTATTAATTTTACAATATGGAATTACACTTACATAAAAGGTATCTGATACGTTTCTTCAATTTACAAGTATTATAATATTTTAGCTACGATGTGAAACTGAAAAGGTATTAATTTTACCATGATGTGTTTATTTATTTTTTTTTAACTTTGTTGTTAACATTTACGATTTCAGATTTTATTATTTAAACTTTTTTATTTTAACTCAATCTTTGAAAATTTTCCGGAAATATTGACACTTTTATTTAATCTTAAATTAAAGCTTATGTAATATACTATACTATGAAAAAAAATGTTGATATATAGTGAACATGGTTATCATATTTTAAAATATGCTATTCTTGTGTTAAAATTTTAGGTTTTGTATTTGAATTTATTTTAATATATATTATAGTGGAGTAGAGTGATTTTCATGAATATTATATAATACTAATTGACATAAAACATAAAGTTAAACTTATTTCAATTTGTTTTTTCTTTTGAATTCAAAAAATTAATTTTAACATTTGAATAAGTTTAAATTGCCAATTTTATTCTAATTCTTTTTGAGTTAGTATTTTGCTTTTGGATAATCCACCTATAACTTAAAATTAAACACTATCTATAGATTTGCATCGAAGCGTTTTTTATGATAGTAATTTTAATCATTGTCAGATATCATCTATACTAGTCCCAAGTATGCCACGCTCACACTGTGCTAGGTTTTTTTTTAAATTAAAACTCTTTTTTTTAATTATTCATAATATATTAATAATATAAATTATTATATTATATATTTATAAATATAATTTATAAATATATTAATATAGTTTGTTATTATAAATAATCCCCTCAATATATAATAATTAAATAACAAACTCTACCTCCACAGAAATGAACAATACTATTGTTTTATGAAAAAAATTGTATCAAATGCAGATTTTTATTAATTAATTTATTAATAATTATAATGTATTTTAAAGACAGCTGATCAGCTATATGCATAAAACTATGCCACGCTAACAATGTGCCGCGATCCCACTGTGCTACCGTTTTTTATATATATTCACAATTGAAAATAAAACCTTAGTAAATTTCAATAGTAAATTTCAATTTGATTTATTTAAAGTACTTTCTATAAATATGTAACGTAAATTTTCAGGCCTATGTTTTTTTGTATGCTTGGCTAATAAAGTAAAAATAAGAACGCAATTATTTCCTAACATTCATAAAAATTCAATATTTTAATTATAGATACTGAATGTTTAAATTTAGATACTGTACTACTAAGTAATCAAACTTGAACTTGAATTTTGTTAATTTTGCTATGCATTAAGATGATATTGACTTAACTAGAATAAATAGGGTCAAGGAATTTTGTGTCGTCTCCTTCCTCATATCGAGTATTTATTATTAACCGTAAATAAGCAGTTTTAGTTTAGAGTTATATTAGCAAAATTTAAAAAAAAATTTTTTTTTAGTACAAAATTATAATAACATTTGAAACACATTTTTAATTATAAAAAATCTGTTATAAACATTATTTTTATCTTGAAAATGCATCATACAGTAGGTTACTAAGGTGGATATCACACAGATTTTTTAGAATATTTTCTTAACAACTATGTACAAAGATATTTGAGTAATAATTTTCAAATACTTTTTAAAGTAGCGAACACTATTAAAATAATTTTTTTAGCAGTATTTTAAATACTTTTTTTGTTATTCGATACTGTTTGAACAAATATTTTTTCAATCTCTTCAATTTTAAATTAGTTTTTATTTTAAATTAGCGGTCATAGATAAAATTTAAAAAAATTATTTAACTTAATTTGTAATCTTAAAAGTATTTCTTCATAAATTAAAATATAATTTTCATAATTTGGAGAGGACTACGCAACCCCTAGATTGCGGCAATGCCATTGAGACTGGTTTTTTTCATAAAACCTAAATAAGGGATTAAAAAACCCAGCACAGGTGGTTCGCGGCAAAGTGATGACGTGGCATAGTTGGATCAAGTATAATGATATCTGACAGTGATTAAAATCACTATCAAAAATAAACGCTTCGATGCAAATCTTTAGATAGTGTTTAATTTTAAAAAAATTGGTGTTTTATTCCAAAAGCTACTTGATCTGCTAGTTCCTTATTAATATCTTGATTAAAATAAAGTATGTCGAATGAAAGAGGGATTATTAAAAAATATTATTTCTCATAAACAAATTGTGTTGATCCATACACTTTTCAATAAGTTATAGCATTTTAAAGTAAAAAATGTAAAATATAAAATCGAGAATTTTCACACAAAAATAGCATTCGGTAGCCATTTTAACCGTAAAGACAAAATAAAGTCCGAAATTTTTTTGTTTTCATAATAAAGTATATTACATTATCTTTAATTTAAGATATACATAAAAGTGTCAGACCTTTCGGAACATTTTCAAAAGTTAAGTTGAAAAAGTTAATTTTTTCTAAAAAAGTTGTCATTTAAAATCTCCCCTGTGGGCAGGTAAAGGGTTAAATTTATAAAAAAAAATATACCAAATGATAGGTAAAGACATCAAGCATCTATAAAAAAAAAATTGTATTGATATGTTCATTTTTGAAAACGTTAAAAAAAATTAAAAATATTTCGAAAATTAGCGATTTTTAAATTTGTAATTTTTTGGAGGTTTCCCCCATTTACGGGGAATGAGGGAAATTTTTTCAATTTTTGAGGGTAATGTTTTCGACTCCATACGATTTGTGATCTTTTGACGTATCGTTGAAAGAAATCCGTTCGGTGAGAGCTGAGAAAAAGTGGTAACAGAAAAAAAAAAAAAAAAACACACATCATAGTAAAACCAATACCTTCTCAGCTTCGCATCGAAGCTAATATTTGTTCACAAAAATTTTGTGATAAAATCTGTAAAATTTATTTTATTGTAAAAATTAATCGACGACTACTAACGTATCTATCACAAGCTAGTTTTATAACTAATTGATTTTCAACCGACTGATTCTTAATATATTTTTGTAATTTTAACAAACGAAAATTTCATATGTACATAATCATACCTGTGTTTGTGTACAAGTTACAGAGAGTAAAATGCTCTCAATTTGATGTTTTAAAATGCAATTAACAAATTTTTGAATTAAACAAATTATTTTAAAATCCAATAAGTTTTTCTTTGTATTTGAAGATTATTTAAAATATTTTATAGTCAACTTCTGTCAACTTATTGTTAAATGATAGTTAATAAGATAATTAAATTTTTTTTTGGACGACCAGTACGGTTATTAAGAACTGTTTTAAAAGATACATCAGTATTTAGAAGTTAATAGTAAGTTTAAATTTAAAATCTTAGTTAAACATGATTTTTCGTATAAATTACATTGTGTATTAAATTATTTTTAATGTTTCGAATCAATTAAAGTTATTTTTTAGGGACAAGGAATTTTTAAGTCCAGATAGTGTAATAAATGTATTAATAACTAAATGTCGAAATATAAACGTAACTATAAAAACATATTTTAGAATGTCAATTTGGTTTACTTCTATCCAAAAAATATTTTTTGTAACAATGTTTATAATTTTATATTTATATTTATTATTTTTTTTGGGCTAAATCTTCTGAATAATATTTCAGAAGAGTAAATAAAAGTATAAACTCCAATTGTGTTTTAAATATTCTGCATTTTTAATGAGAAAGAATCATATTTAAACTATAGAGAAATATAAAATTTGTATTTATTTTAAATAAAATATTTTACATATCAAACAAAGATATCATAGTTATTCAACATTTAACAAATTCAATAAAAATGTTAGAAAAATATTATGAACAACAATAAATTATAGAGAGAGGCATTAACCCATTATCATATTCTCGTCCATAAGCAAATGACAAAATTTCATAACAAAGTGGTATAAATGTAATATTCCAATGGATAATTAAAAATTATTATATTTAATAGGCTTATAAATTAAATGAATATATCAGTATTTACAGCTTAAATCGTCAACCCAAATAATTAGATCAATAGCCTTTTAAAAATTATTTTGCCCTTATAATATTAATAGCTTAGGATAAACCTTAAAATGCATTTGATTATCTTCGAAAGGGGTTTTAAAAATTGTTTTATACCAAGTAAGCGGCAAACGCCCACTATTCCCTAAATTTATAATACAACATAGAATATTAAAACTCTAAATAAGGAAATACGGTTATTTATACCGCATTTTTATTTTTGTATTTACAAGAGACAAGTTTATAATATATAAAGATTATAATATGTAAATTTTATTTCAATTTCTATTAGGAGAAATATAGTTATTACATAATTAAAGTATTCATATTTTCTGTTGAGTGTATAATCTATCATATTTTGGAATAATTATTACAATATTATCCTAAATGTCAAATAACTGGTAATATGCCCTGTCCTATTTTGGTACAACTGTTATTTCATCTTATTATAACCTACATAATACATGGTCATGTTTTAGAAACCAAAACATATAAATGTTAATCTTGGTTTTTTTAGCAATACGAATATCACTAAATCACTTAAAAAAAAAATGAACTAATATTGAAATTAAATAATATATATATATATATATATATATATATCTTATTAATACCCCTGCTTAGTTACAAAAAAAAATTAAATTTAAAAAAATAAATTATTTTATAGAACATTAAAATTTTCTAATTAAATTATTAAACTAACAAATTATAGTTATACTAAATGACCAAATCTAAAGAATAATGTTTTTAGTAATCATGGAAAAGGGTAAATATTTTTTTATGATTTTATGACAAATTATAATAGATTATTTAAACAATCATTTTAGTTTTTATACATTTTTTTAAAAACACAAATCGTATGACTACTACTTTTATTGTATTAAAGTAGTTATAAGTTTCTCAAGCGACTAGATAAAAATAGAGTAGGTTATTGTAAACTAAAAAAAATTTGATTTTTTTTTTTTAACACATTTATTTGAATTAACATTGCATACCCTATGATATTATGGTATGAGTTATTTAACATTTATGATGACAAAAATCAAAAAGATCTTAATGAGTAACTATAAACATTATGTACACAGTACAGAAATCACAATTTTGTGAAATATGTGGTACTAAAGTTACTTTTTACTTCTTGTGCCAGCCGTGTTTGCTGTACGAAGACAATCCTCCGAGTCCACTGTATCCCAATGATCCGTAAGTTGATGGAGCCCATGAGCTGTAACCGCCGTGGAGGGCTGATGCTCCATATCCAGCACTGAGAGCGGATAGTCCGTATCCCGAGTTATAGGAACTGTGTCCAAGAGAAGCTGATGACCAGGTGGCTGGAGCGGCGATAGCAACTGAATGCACAGCTGGAACGGCGTATGGTTGAGCAATTGGTACTGGGATTTGTTTGACGTGTGGAACTGGGATGGGTTGTTGAACTGGGACTGGAATGTTACGGACGACGGGAACTGGGTAAGGAGAAGCTACTGGGTGAGCGACTGGCCTATCTACTGCGTATGGTACTGGTCTTTCGACTGGTACTGGGTATGGTTGTGGTACACGCACGGCGTATGGCCTGTCTACTGCGTATGGGACTGGAGATGGTACTGGAACGGCTACATTGTGTTCTACTGGTACTGGGTATGGGGCAGAGACGGGTTGTGCGTGGCGGTTAATGACATGCACTTCTCTGGAGATTTGGTAAGCTGGTCCGGCGGTAGGTGCTGGAGCAATGGCAGCACTGGCGTAAGCTGGTGCGTAAGCTGCGGAAGATAATCCCAAACCTGATGAATATCCAGACAATCCAGAGGCCAAACCCAATCCGGAACCGTATCTGAGACTGGAAGACAAACCAAGTCCAGAGCCCCATGTGGAGCTCAAACCGAGACCAGAGCCCCAAGTGGAGCCCAAGCCGAGACCAGAGCTGTATCCTAATCCTGAGCTGTAGCCCAATCCGGAGGCCAAACCTAGTCCAGAACTGTATCCCAAACCAGAGCCATAAGTGTAATCTGCTGATCCGAAACCTGAATCGAGTTCACCAATACTTCTTTTTCCAGCTTTTTGTGTTTTGCTGTTAGCGTCGGCCCCAACGAGGGCTACGATAGCCAAAGCGACAATGGCGACTGTCTGTGAAATAAATAATATTTTATTATTAATTTTTTAATATATATATTTTTTTCGTTAAGTTAAAATATTTAGTACTTACGAATTTCATGTTGATATTTTAATGGCACAATATCGAATGGTGACAATTTAGAATTGCAATCTACTTTATATACTCAAGTATAAATGATAATAATCGAGGGCAAATACAAAAATAAGGCGGGAATCCAGTTAATGGTTGTCTCTTAAGCATTATGAAAAAATTATATGGTATTGTGCAAGGTTGACTTGACACAATCTGGAACTTGAATTTAACATTCGCCAATGATCGTCTTCAGGTCACACAACTGATCACCGTATTATAATTATATAATAGAAACAACTAGTTAATACGTTGGATAAAATAAAAATGTTACCATTATTTTTATGCATTATAAAAATAAAATATGACATACTGAATGATGTAAATAGGTAAATTATAAAATTTTATTTTATTATTGAATTTTATTAATAATAAATAAATATAATTTTTCAAAAATAATTTATAACGTAAGCTTTTTTAGCTAAATCTATTGAATATATATAAAAATATATTTTTACCGAATTAAAATTAATTAAAAAATAACTTAACTTCATAAAAATACTGAATTTATCTGAAATATTTATTAACAAAATGATATCATTGGCTGTAAAAATTATGAAATCTAAACACATCTAACACATCTAAACTGACAGTATGTGTTTAGCGTTGATAATGGTAACATTGTTTCCGAAATACGTATCCGCGACTTTTCATTAATTTTTTGTGGCTTTGAGTTTAATATTTTTAATATTTTTTAGTTTTTTAAATTAATAATATTTTTAATTTTACTTATACATATTAGTTTTCAGAATAATATTTTCAATATCTATTATTCATAAGAAATTATTTTATGAATAGAAAAATAATTATATTTTAAATATTTTAAGTGAACTAATTGTTAAAAGTTGAAAAAATAAGCCAATTTTTTTTTATTTATAACTTTTTTTTAAATGTCTACATCAGTATAATTTTTAAAATATGTTATTAGTATTGATGGGTAACTTTATTTTTACATATCGATATTTTAACGATATTAATATTATCATACGATATCGTAATTAAAAAACACAAAAATTTTTAATAGGCAATTAAGAAGACAAACAAAAAACATTTTTATTTCCTTAAAGATCTTGAAACCAAACACTTAGTTTTTTTTTAACTTGAAATAATTGCATTTATTATTTGATTATGAAATAATTAGGTATATTTTCTTTAATAATAACAAGAATAATAAATAAATAGATAAATAAACAAATAACATTTATAAATAAAAAGCATGACTAAGAGTGTGTTTTCTATCATTGGTGGCGTGGCGTGAAGCAGTGGATCATTCAGTCGCCGCTATAGCGCTGACGTTTAGCTGGGCTGATTGCTGTTAGTTCCCTAATGAGTGACCATACGGGAAATTAAAAAGTGACACACAACTTGCCTTCTTATTGGCTCTCAGTCATAATGAAATTGTGTCATATCATTAACCGGTGTAAAAGTCCTGTCAAATATTTGTAAGCCGACCCTAAATAATTGGATTAGAAGCTAAAGAGATGATTATGATGACTAGGATTGCATTTTAAAATCTCATTCGATTACTCTATTCGAAAACCATAATTATACCGTAGATATTATTAAAAAAATTATGCTCAATTAGTTTTAATGTTTTTAATCATTTTGAGTATAAAAATAATAGAAGTACACTTTCCAAAATTGACATTTTATTTTGACCAAACTCAAATCAGTTTCCAATAATTGTCATGAACATCAATTAAATTTTATCGATTGTAAAATTAACATATAAGTAAGAGAAAATTATCTATAAATTATGAAATATGTAATTTACACGGAACTTAATTACATATTTTGAATCTTGTATGTTTAATAGAATGAAAAATACTAGAAAGCTTTTCCATAGTATTCGTTGTGCTAATATAAGAATAAATATTGTATTTACACGTTTGTGAACATAAACGGAGCTAGTAGGAAGTCGGTAACTGTACCGATAGGTTATGCCATTAAAATCATTTCAAGTCAGTTTATTGGCGTCTCCAAAAAAGTGATAAGAAATGAACGGAAAAAGATCCTGTTTTTCTTTTTTTTACTACCTAAAATAAAAAAAAATTATTGGCTGAATATTGTTTTTATTCTCCCGTGTTTATGATTTTTTTTTGGTTTTCTATGTCACGTATGTGATAATGTGATTTTGCTAGGGATTAATTGCGTTATCATACATAATGATTCATGTAGCATTATAAATTGCAATTATCTAACTTTTTTTCAGTACACAAAAGCCACGGAGAAAACGTTTATCGTATGCAACACTTGTATTTTAACTTATTCAACTGCGCATAACTGTATTTTTAAAGCGATAAAACTGAACGCTAGATTATATAAGAATTGTATAAACAAGATAAGGGATGTACGTGTATTGGTTACAGTAGTGCATTAAGAAAAAAAGTTACGTATAAAATGGGCTTTTTAAGATAATGAAGAATATTAGGTTATTATGTTTTTAAACGGTCCAAGAAAAAATAAAATTGAGTTTCTATTGACTCTTTGATACGATGATAACTTTTTTGTTATCGTTAATTTAACTTTTTCTTGGCTTATTATTAGACGACTCGTATCTACATAAAGAGTATTATGCAATGAGGAACGTTTATTTTTTGGCATTTTACAAGAGAAAACACACACAAACCTAGTTCTTATTCAAGGTGCAATATAATTTAATGTTTATTGCTAGTAAGGTGATATTCTGAGTTTCAACCATACCGCAAAGGACAAACAAAAGCACCGCAATAGTATATCTTAATGCTCTATGACGCACCATTCTGTTATAAAGGTTGAGTTAGTATATAAGCTGAAACAACAAAACGTGTTTGTTTAAGTTAAGTGTGTATATATATAGATTAATTTTTGGCACATCCGGCTTTTAAGTATTATTCTACACTTATAGCTATAGAACTTTAATGAAAACTGCCGCTATCAAAATGATGTAAAAATGTCCTTTCCGTCACGTGAAATTAATATATTGTTATAAATTGAACTTTTTTTAAAACTATATTGCAAAACGCGTGTTTTTCACATAATATTGTATCTTGTGGTTGTGTAATGTCATCTTTGTTCCACACTAACCGTCTACTGCTTATACAGTTGGGCAAAGCAGCCAAAGCCGGTTAAATGTCATCCGGTCATGTTTCAGCGTCATCGTTGGCCCAGTTTCTAAAATACAACATTTTCAGACACAATCACACATTGGCAGGTAGAGGTAGAAGAATTTATGCAGTAAAAGCAATTTTCAACTTGAATCGGCAAAGTAAAAAATAAATTTATACACCAGTATGTGATATGTTGAAATACCAATGTTATACAACTGTTTGCGGTCCATCTGCTTTTTTATGAATATCCATAATAAATAAATATATTGGCATTTTATTAGTATGTTATTATATTTACGAGATAACTATGACAATATTGTTTTTTTCCATTAAACAAACTATTAGGTAATAACTAATTCAATAAATTAATTTATTTTGCTGAAATAATGCCATTATATAAAAACATGTTACAGTAAGGTCAAAAAGATTCCTTAAATAAAACAGTTCTATAAAATATTTAAAACCTGAAGGTTTGCTTTTAAAATATAGACTTTTAATTTAAATAAAAAGAATAAAATCAGATCAAATGTCACGCACTCCCTGGTCAGATCGTACTTTAATATTCCTTAGATATTTTTTAACCCAATAATTGTTTTTATATTATTATGATATCTAAAATGAAGTTTTTCATGTAAACAATAATTATTTTATATATATATATATATATACTTTTTTTCTTCTTAACTTAAATATAAGTAATAAATAGTTTATTGTTAACTAAGTTTGAAATATATTTATAACTATATTCATAAAACTATAAATAATTGATTACATATTAAAAGAATAAACATAAGGTTATTTAATTATTAATAAGTTTTTATATGAGAATTTCATTCTATTTCAGTTTGTACTTTAAAGATGTTCAATGTTGATTAATTATAAGGATGAAGAAAATTGCAGTGATTAAAAAACAAATCATTCACTTCTCGTCTTAATTATTAAGTCTCAATATGAAATACTAGTTTGTAAAAAAATATAACTTGGGTTGGGTTATGATATAAAAGTATATGTCATAACCTCCCAATTTTTTTCTATATCACTGTACTAAAATAGTTTTGGAAACACGAAATAAACAAGATATTACTTAAATTAAAAAATTTGCAACATAAAGTTTAATATTTAGCTAATTAATTTTTGAAAAAAATTTGTAACTTACCTCTAGGACCTTAAAAAAATAATATGCAAATGCTAAAAATTATGAGTACTGATTTTAAATAAAAATTAATTTCTACGATTGTTTTTTTTTTTTTTTTTTGTACCTTAAAGATAATGATTTTGAGCTTTTTCGAGACATTGATCTTATGAATAATATTATAGATAAATAATCGCAGATAACTTTTGTAAAATACCACAGTGGTACATTTACAATGAATAATTTCATTTAACAGTTTGGTCTTCTATTATTTCAAATCCTGTCCAATAAATTTCTAATGAGATTTGATGAAACTCAATCTATTTAACGCAATTGACAGTTTATTAATTTTTAAATAATAGATAAATTATAAATAATTTAATAAATAAAGTTGAACTAAATGTTTCTCTAAATTAGAATACGTTTTTATTTTATGTTTAAAGTTATTTTATTTTAATTATAAAAAAAGTTTTTCAAATACTATCAGTTGACATTTTTAAAGCCGGTCTTAATATAAGAAACTTGATACATAAGTATACCATTTAAATTTAGTTAAATTAATGAATTTTATTTTCATAAAATTGACTTAATTAAACTTCAAAAAAAAATTAGGTAAACACTTATCAAATATCTCTTACTGTTAACCTTAAGCAACTAAAATAGTACAAATAATAGTTAGCAGAACTTCATTTAAAGTTATGTACTTAATCCAAAAATTAAAATTTGTTATAAATTCATATTTAAAAATAAAACATTGTATAGCTAGTGAAAATTATCATTGTTTGCATTTAAGGTTTAGAACTTTAAAAACGATTACCTATAAGTTTATCTATAAACAATATCAAATTTCATTATAATATTAACGAAATTTATA